TTAAATGAACACCAGAGAATAAGAAAAATAAGTCGTCTCTTAATCTGATGTTATCCACAATTGACCGGCATACTACAGAAGCACCAGTTCTTAATTATATTATATTATATTATATTATATATTATATAAAATTATATTATATTATATTTTTAAATATCCAGAATTACTGGACCTAGTTAAGTCCTATCAACCCATATTTCTCAGAACAACATTAAAGAAATGAATTGCTCTAACATTTAGTATATCAGTAGACTGAACATTAATTTTGTTTTGTGCATTCTGTAGTTGCTCTGGTTTCAGCTGCTGATGATCTGTCCTCTCTGCAGGTGTCTGGAGGAACGGTGCGTGAGCTGGTTGAGGGACTGAAGCATGTTGGGAACAGCAGTGCTGTCAGTTTACTCCAGGCTATGTGCAAGGAGCCTGAAGCTGTCCACACCACGCCTCAGCTCACAGGTAATATTGACTGATATGTGCTTTTCTTGGTGATGTGGCCTAGGTGGTTGAACATCAGCCAAAAGTTGTTGGTTCTAGCCCCCCAAAAGGAGTGGTCCATGAAACATTACCATTGTGCCCTGGTATGCGGGTATGCATAGCCACAGGTTGGTCACAGGGACTTTCCCTGTAGTAAGTGCACTGTAAGTTCCTTTGGATGTGTCCGTAAAGGAGTTAGTCAAATGGCTTTAAATTTTTTTTAATCTTATTTCAGATTAGATAAGCTGAGTTCAGAACAGCTGCAACATTTACACAACCCTGTGATAACATCAGTTGAATTATGCTCACCAAGGCTGCAATTGAGAAATATTAATAGTTTTCTGTTTTAATATATTCTCAAATCTGTTTTATTCCTGTGATGGAAAGCTGAATTTTCAGCAGCCATTACTCTAGTCTTTAGTGTCAAATGACAGGCTAATAAACCTGACAGAAGAATTGTTTATTATGATTTGATTAATACACGGGACTACATTTAATTGTGATCATATTTGAGTCAAATTTCTGTTGTCACTATTTTATAAAACCGTTTATATTTTATAAAAGATTCAACTATGGTAAAATCACTGTAACCCATGGTCTTGAGTGGCTTATTGCTTTCATTTCTAAAGGCACAACTATATATGTTAGATGACGGTGTTTAATATTTCCTTTGTTCTGTGTACCAGACCATAAACCTCAACAATTCATCTTCTCAAAACATGTTTTTTGCTCGTTGGTGTAGCATTTTGGATCTTTTTCCAAGAGCACATCATCACTGTGGCATTTTGCAGTATGAGTGAGAATTTATTCTGTATTGTTCTGTTGGGAAGTTTTTTTTTGTCCCACATTATGGTTTGTAAAACCCCCAGATTAAATCACTGTCAGTCTCGGTTCCCTGCCCCCCTCTCCTTAACAATAGTGTCACGTTGTGGTTCTCCCTGACATTACCTCATGTGAACTCAAGCATGATGTCAACAAAACAGCACAGCCACTACATTCTGAGGGAGTTCCCCTCGGTCTCAGGGTGACCCATCATACTGCGGTAGTGTTCACATATAGTCTCCGCGTGATGGCCATGTTTCAGGGGGAAGCGGACACTAGAGAGGGGGATTCCCAGGAACAGAAGTGAAAGCCAGATACGGCACTTCTGGGTTTTGTCTCCTGAGCAGTTTCTTTGAAACAAGTATTTCCACCTTGCTTTGCTGTCTGATTTGAAGGGTTGACATAGTCATCGTCAGGGTCGAGTGAGCGTGTAAGTGCCACCAGGGGAAGGTTCTTTTTTTTTCTCAGTTTCCTTCTCATGGTTGTCCGTATTGTTGTGCCACGTTTTAGAGCTTCGTCATGCCTAGAGCTGATCCGTGCTGGTTGCTGAGGAAATACATCAACTTTTCACTGTCGATAGCCGGATCGGCTTTTACCATGGACGAAGCGGAGTCCAGCCCGGGGTCGTCACATGTGGTTGCCACAAGCCCGCCGGACGCTCCTTCGTCGAAT